GCACTACCAGATTTGGACTCAGCGTGCGAGAAAACCCCCAAACACGATATATCAGTCGTCCTGGTCGTTCCGAGGTTGACGGTCGGTCGGTCGGTCGGCCAAACCGTATCTTATTTTGACAGCCCCGTTAGTCTACTCACGTCGTGTCGATAGTACTTGTGGAGCACAGTGACTGACTGCACTGTTGAGCTTTTTGCCGTCACTGCTCGGGTTCCAGAGGATATCAGGGTGCAGCCAGGGCTTCTTAGTTCGTTTCGTGAAGGACCCCAGGGCCCTGTGACAAAAAATTGTCCTTAACAGCAGAAGAGTCCCTTGTGCACTCCACAGTTACTTGAAATGGGGGCCTACGTGTGCACGGCGTTTACGTAAGTAAGGTGATGTCTTGTTGTTCTGCGCCTTTGGTTCCCATAGCAGTTTCTAAAGAGACAAATGGAGGTGGAATTTTTAGAATTTTGCCATTTTTTTTAGTTTCCATCTAAATGGTTTTAGCTCGTGTTACTGACTACAAATGATGTCCAAAGTGCAGAGGCTGAGGAACGAGTGCACTTCGACGGGCCTCTTGTTCTCCAGAAGTTTCTTCACGAAGACGCTTCCCGGTGAACAGAAAAAAGTCAAAGTGATGTCATATGACGTCAAGGGGGTCATTTTGATGTCATTTTAACATCATTTTGACATCAAAATGATGTCAACATGAGATCAAAATGCTTCAGAAAACGGAGGTGGAAAGTGGGGGTCAGAAGTTTTCTGTGACTGCGCCATTTGTTCCCTGCAATAATAAGGCAAAGGATGAATAATAGAAATAGAAAAGGATATAATGGCCGACTAAGTTTTTCCCATAAGACCCCGGCTGCCGAAACCTGCAAGGAAGGCTACGTGCAGTGGGTTGCCTACCGTACCGAGTGCGCTAAGTTGCGCATGCGCAATAAACAAGTCACGAAGAACACCGGCATATTGACGGTACAGGGAGTAAAATAGGGCTCATTCAGGAAGTACGCCCGTCATTCGCAGTCACGGAACCCTTCATAGCGCCTTGTAGGTAGGCAACATCTTGCCTGCAGTGCATGCGGGTACTGCGGGGTGGCCTACCCCGAGCCTCGCAGGCGCCAAGCCCCCGAAACGTGCCGAATGAATCTGAGGAAAACGGACGTCTTTTCTGGACAAACCCTTAGCAAAGACCTGCAGCGAGTGACCCAGGATGCTCGTTTCAGAAAAGTGGTGAGAGGTAGTAAGAGGTTTCAAAAGTCTCGCGACGGTTTACCGGACGAACGAGGATAAACCTCTTGTGTCTCCCTCGCATTCGCAGCAGCTGGTATGTCTGTCTCTAAACTAAATGTCACCTGTTTAAGGGCGTGCACTTTTGGTGCACCCTCAAATCATAGTGTTGGCTCGTTCTGCTCGCTCGCTGCAGGGCTCCATTTGGAAACGGTCAAGGTCAAAATTGGCGCGGAATTTTTAATTTCAAAATGATGTTTGACGGTCTTATTTGTGAAGAATATTTGTGTTTACTTATACGTTGGCTCACCATTACTTGTGAGTAGGCCCTCTCCAATCCATGGGACCAGCCCGGAGTACGCGTCCGCCTTCTCGGTGTGTTGAGAGCTGCCCAGAATAATCTGCAAAATGAACCCAGTTAAATATTTAAATGTCTGAGTGGACAGCGCTGATTGCATAGTTGGCAGTAATTTGATTCATGATAATTGCAGCCTTGGTACTGCCGAATGAACGAGTGGATGGGAATTCCCTCACCACGTTCTGTCCGAAAGTTGCCCTATCCAAGGCATGGCAGGCGCTATCATTAGCGTTCAGCGTTCATTTTGGAGAGAACTCTAGGATATCCACTCCCAGGATGGATAGAACTGAGGCACAGACCGAAAGCGGGTGAGAGGGGTAGTGACAGCTGGTGGTGAAAGAACGCTTTCGGGGAACTTTCGAATGCCCCTCAATGCCCCTCCACAGCGCCATCGCCATCTCTCGGAACAGCCTTGCTACAAATCTCTGCTCGAATCGCTATAGAGTTCGTGCAATAGCGATCCGTTATGTTTGGACCGAGTCACTGCCGGTGAAACGACAGATAACTTTCTGAGTACAGCAGAAGACGCAAGTCGGAGTTTTAAGTTGTATTAACCCTCGGTACCAAAAAACGTGAATTTTATGGTTAAGATCTCCTATGTGTTTAAACCGAGGACCGAGGAAATACTCGAGGATTGCTTTTGATCAAGATATATTAAAGAGCCTAACCTCTGTTTAGATCTGTGACAACGGCGTCGAGGCGCGGCAATTCAAACTGGGAATGAGGAACGTACAAGATAAATTGTGTTTTTGAAAGCCCATTCACGAAATACTGTCCGACAAATGAATATAATTCATTGAATATATTTGTAGGGGCTGATTTAAAACACGCATTCAGCGGAAAAGTAGAAAGGAAGTTCTGGAATGCCCCAATATCTCTTTATAGGTGCTGGCTGATGTGGTACTCAAACGTCGACTCTTTTCATACTTCAGTATCTCAATATTTCGCATATTGCACGTACTCTATACCAATACTAATGTGATGCAAACGAAACGAACTGTGGCAGCAAAGAGGGTTGTTTTTAGCTTAGCATGTGTTTATGTTTTTTAACTTGACTTTTCAATATGTCCGTGCTGTCAGGTGTAAAACATATTATCCTGGTTTTGTCCGGGAAGGGAGGAGTAGGAAAATCTACAGTTAGCACACAGCTAGCTTTAGCTTTGAAAGAAGCTGGTTTTAAAGTGAGTGGTTTTGGTTATATGTTGCACAATATTCTTTCTGCTGGAATTAAATTTTGTAGTTGCAACAGTTTTGTATGACCTGTGTTTTCCTGGTGTTTATGTTGCCGTTTATGCCTTCTTATTAAATAGATCATTTTATTTACAGTCTCTTACCCTTTCTGTTGGTTTTTCTGAAAAGTGCCTCCTGAACTGTTTAAATACAAAACGGATGTATAAAACTATGCACAATCAACTAATTTTTCTCCTTATTCTGTTTTGCTTTGAAGGTCGGATTACTAGATGTTGATTTATGTGGTCCAAGTGTGCCTTATCTACTTCAATTAGAGGATCGGGATGTGCACAAGTGTGATGAAGGGTAACTATATAAACATGTGTTTCATCAGATTTTTAAATTTATTTTGATTGTACTGATTAGTTTTTTGATGTCTTAAATGTGTGTGTTTATAAGGTGGGTTCCAGTTTATGCAGATTCTGATCAGAAATTAGCTGTTATGTCTATTGGATTTCTCCTGAAAGATAGGGATGCCAGTGTAGTTTGGAGAGGACCCAAGAAAAACGGTATGCATGCTTTCAAGCTATCTGTGTTGTATTCATTCATTCATTGTTGTTGGCTTCATTCTGTTTCATGTTTTACTTTTACAGCTATGATAAAGCAATTTCTTACTGATGTATACTGGCAAGACATAGACTTCTTAGTAATTGACACTCCACCCGGTACTTCTGATGAACATATTACTGTGATGGAGAATCTGAAGTAAGCCACCAGCAGTTTTGATGTCATCTCTGGATTTGTGAAATTGGTGTATTGTTGTACACTTTTACTTTTTTTTCTTTTCTTAAAATCTGCATGATATTTTAGAGATTTACCATGTGACGGAGCACTTTTAGTCACAACCTCACAAGCTGTGTCGGTAGAAGACTGTATGAAAGAGCTCTCCTTTTGTAAAAAAGCAAACATCCCAGTCCTTGGAGTTCTAGAGAACCTAAGTGGCTTTGTTTGTCCTGTTTGTTCGGTAAGTTCCTTATCATTCATCATTATTAATTTGTATTTCCAAGACTTACAGTAGTTTTAAGCTTGTCTTTTGTTTCTGATTTCAGGAATGCACCAATATATTTTCTTCAGGAGGAGGAAAATCTTTGGCAAATCTCAATAACATTCCTTTCTTGGGAAGTATACCTATTGACCCATCTCTGGGAGAGTGTGGAGAAAAAGGAAAGAGCTGTATATCTGTAAAACCTAACAGTCCAGCTTCCAAAGTTTTTAAGGATCTTGTACTGACAATTGCACAAGGTAGTGGCATGTCAGTGGACTGATTTTCATTCCCTATTTAATATCATGCCATACGGCTTGTACGAGAAGAAATTTCATCTTTCTCTAAATGGCACTTGTAGAAAAGAAATGTCATCTTTCTCAAGAATACTTATTCCAATGACTTTGTTTCGCTCCCACATTCAAATTTTAGACCTGTCCTATAAAATGTCAGTCTTTTGTGACTATTTTCATATAAAAGAGCATCATTAAAAATCGTTTGTTACATAAATAATTGAATTTTATTCATTATTTATCAATCTATTTGTCTGCCAGCTTTTCTCCTTCATCCCCAGTAACCGGTCCATCCTTATCGATAGGAGCAACATCTGCTCTTGGGGCCCTTAAAGAAAATACAACAGGAATCTCTGCTAATGCAGGGTTCCCATTGGTTTCTAACAGGCGAATCCATGAGAGAACAGAATCACGACTAGAAGTACCTGTAGCACACACAGCCAGTATTGTACCATCTTCTTGTTCATGAACTGATGGCGCTTCAACAACAGCAGAGGGTTCAAAAAGAAAAGGTATTTTGAAGTTTGATATATCTGAAAACAAATTACACATCAAATTGTAGAATACTTGGTACTCCTGCTCATTTCAACATCCACGTACCACATAGTTCTAGGATAATATTACATACCATCTGGATCTTGTGGCTCATAAAGTTTAGTTCGATCAGATCTGAGCATAAAATAATTTATTCGGGCTCTCCCAAACCACAGGTCAAGAGGTCCTTCAACAAAAATAGTTTCATCTCTTGGCAGTTTAGCCAAAAGCTCTTGCTGTGTTGGGCTCTGTCCACTGACAATATAAGTTTCATCAAGAGCTTCTGGCACAGATTTACTCTACAACAGAAAACAGTGCATGTTACGTAATACAAAGAGGTATCAATTGGTTAACTTTTTTTATTAAGAAATTACCTGCCACACAGAAACCACTGATTGAGGATCAACAGTGCAAATCCTTTCAATAGCCAACTTTGCTATCAAGAAAGGGTCTGAAATAGGTGGAAATGGAACAGGCCATGGGTTTGCTTTCCTTAGCTTTGGTGTCCAGTATATTTGACGATAACATTTTCTAACTGGATTACTTTTTTCACCAAACCTCTTGATCAATAATTCAATCATATGATTATCCGCACAGAGACCTTAAAAGAGATGAGGGTAAAATAATGCAAAACACCTTTACTCATGTAAAATATTAGTATGCTGGAAGTACCTCTTTTTTCCATATCATCTAACAATCTTACAATGCAATCTTGTTGTTTAGGATAATGCGAAAATTCTGATTGCCATGCATTTTGAGTCACATATTTGTCCTCCGGCAATAACTGAATTAATTTCTTATAAATGTCAAGGTCATATTGAACATTATATCCAACCAGGTGTTTTCTAGCAGCAAAGATGAACTCAACCACACCCCTTTTTGTTGGATTAGTCTTCTCGTAAATTTCCAACATCACCTCAAATGTTTCTTTATTTCTATGTTTAGAATTGAAATATGTCTGAGTGGACAGCGCTGATTGCATAGCCTCTTTACGGATTTTTTCTTTCTCTTCGTCTTCATCGTCTGCTTCAGTATTAAATGATTCATTATTACTCTTAAACTTCACAGCACAAGTTTGAACCATTCGTCTTGTTGGTCCACACAAAAACTTCTTGGGGAGCTCAAATTTCCTTGACCAAACCAAGTTTGTACCTAATGTTGAGATATGGCGGCGAAGCAATAGGATAGCAAAGTGTCGCATTTTTATGGGCGTATCTAGCAAGAGCAAAACAAATAGACTTATAAACACCTTTGGTCTACATCATTGGGGTCCAACCCAACCTACATTCGGCGGCGCTTTTAGCGTTCAAAATAAAAATAAATTGAGGGACAACGCCAGAGAATCTTGTTAAAAGGTACACCCAGTGTTACTTATTAAGGTGATGCTGATTACTTAGAGTAACTAAGATATTTCTTCGTAGTTTAGGAGACTTGAATTTGAAATAGTCCACTTCACTTGCAGAGTTACCCCTCTCCACTCTTGCCCCTTCCCCCGCCCCCCTCTCTGTCTGTTCTACGCGCACGCGCACACCGCATTGACACAAGAGAGGACGAGGAAAGGAGAGGGTACTGCGAGCCACCCCCGGGAGCACGGTGCCTTCGAGCAGAGCGGTTAAAAATATTGAGAGTACTGGTCGCAAAAACAACTTGTTCGGCGTACTCCCAAGGGATGGGGAAGTTACACCGAAACTCTAAATTGACCGAAAACGTTC